GCCAGTGTTTTCTATGTTTAATTAACTTCTGTTCAATGCTTTAAGCATGGAATTTTAACAGTTTATGCTTTTGTTTCTTCAAATCATACATGGTGGTTATTCTAACAACATACTCTTCCATAAGATGCGTAACAGGCATACTCCTGTCCTCCAGCACCTTGAGTTTCTTTGCTATAGATATAAATGATTTCTTTTCTTATCATTCTTACACAACAGGAGTACCAGCTGACCTTTTGACATTTTCAACAACTTTATACCACTTAACAGAGAATAAGCAAACAACCTCAATAAGCAAAATACATAGGTCTTGATCCCATATGAGGCATCACGGGTAACATAGTATTGGTGTCTCCAGTCATTTTATTATCCTTTGTGCTTCCATGTGGGAATCTAGGCATAAAAGGAAAAGATACAGTGTAGCTGAAGGGGGCTGGGAGGATGTTTTTATTAACAATTTTTTCTCGTAATCCATAAGCTGTGCACCTGTTCTTTTATTGCATTTCATCACATGATATCAGGTGTGGAAATTTCCACTTATGGCATCATGTTGTCACTCACCAGGTCTCAGATTTTAGAACATTTTGCATTTCAGATTTTAGGATTAAGAATGCACAACCTGTAATTTTCTATTGTTGTAAAAGCAAATTATCACAAAAAACGTAGTTGCTTAAAACAACCCAAATTAATATCTAACAAATCTGTAAGTCATGCATTTCAAATAGGTCTCTACCGAAAGTGCTGGATTGTTCCACCTTTCTTCCTAGAGGCTCCAGGGAAGAATCCATTTCCTTGCCACTCAAAGCTTGCAGAAGTGATCAGATTTTTGGTTCATGAACACCTTACTTCATGGTCAAAGCCCGCAATGGTAGATTGAGTCCTTTTTAAATCTCATCCCTCTGACTCTTTTTCCTTCTTCAAGTGATTAGAACTCAAGTGATTAGATCAAGCTGACCCAAATCATCCAGATTAATATCATCTCAAAGTCAGTTGACTAGCAACTATTTGCATCTGCAACTCTAATTCTCTTTTACCATGTAAAATAACAGACTGAAAAACCTATGGATTAGTAGGATGTGTCTCTCTTCTGGGATATCAGTCTAAATATCCTACTGAGTTTTTAGAAAATTTTATAAAAATTGAAAAGGTATCTATCTGATATTTTTAGAATTGCAAGATACCAGTACACAGGATAGCATATATATTACCTCACCCTTTAAAGACTTGAAAAGGACATAAATTTATCATAAGCCGTAAAAATGTACAAGACATATTATATAATATCTGGATTTTAAACATAATTTCAATTTCATTTTATCATTATTTTCAGAAACAAAAAATGTTAGACCATTAGGGCTCATATACTTCTAACTGTAGGAGCAGAAAATCAACCAACTTGTAATGCGATATAACATTATATTTACTTCATATAGCAATTCATTTATGTTCCTAAATCTGTACATATAAAATACATGAAACTTGTATAACTTAAATAAAATTTTAAAAAAAAGATAAAAAAGACCATATATATATAAATGTGACTATTAAATACAAAGTCAAAGCATACTCAACAGTAAAACAATTTAAACAGCCTTCATTTACTATATTCTTTAGTTCAAAAAATGTCAGTCAGCACACCAGCTCCATGGATTAAGTGTTTTGTGTATTTGTACAAATTATTTTTTGCCAACTAATGAGTGTATATCAATATTTTTTTTTTATTTTTTTATTTTTATTTATTTTTTTTTTTTTTTGACAGGCAGAGTGGACAGTGAGAGAGAGAGACAGAGAGAAAGGTCTTCCTTTGCCGTTGGTTCACCCTCCAATGGCCGCCGCGGCCAGCGCGCTGCGGCCGGCGCACCGCGCTGATCCGATGGCAGGAGCCAGGAGCCAGGTGCTTTTCCTGGTCTCCCATGGGGTGCAGGGCCCAAGCACCTGGGCCATCCTCCACTGCACTCCCTGGCCACAGCAGAGGGCTGGCCTGGAAGAGGGGCAACCGGGACAGAATCCGGCGCCCCGACCGGGACTAGAACCCGGTGTGCCGGCGCCGCTAGGCGGAGGATTAGCCTAGTGAGCTGCGGCGCCGGCCCGTGTATATCAATATTTAACACATTAAGAAATATTTCATTTATTTACAGATTGATTGTAATATTGTTTTTATTACAATCAAGTGTTTTCCCAGCAGAAAATCTACCAAACTGTGAAATATTTTCATCAACAAAGAAATTCTCAATATTTAAAATAAAATAATTGTATCATTGCCAGTGTTTCCAAACAGCTAATCTTCATGTAATGATGTAGTAGTAAAATCATATATAGAGGAAAGGTTTTTATAAGCATTAGACAAAAAAGTAAATATAAACAAACATTTTACTCTAATGATTACTAAACTTTAAAGTATATTGAATGAAATTTATATATTATTTATATATTTATATCTAAGTTTATATATACTATGGGTCTATTTATATATGATAAATATATACATTTATGTATATTGTTATATATTATAAATATAAAATCATATGTAAAAATGAGGAAAAACCCCTCCTTGTAAACAGTTCAATTTATTTAAAGAAAATTAAAACTTTTAAGAATAATTATTTACTTTGTCAACTAAGCATAGTTTTTTAGCCACAACAAAGCACTCTTGAAGATAGAAAAATACAAATTTGATATAATTTTTTAAAAAAATTGGAAAAACATTTGAAAACGTTCTCCCCTCCAAAGTAAATTCATAAATAGAAACAAATACATGCCTATATATTTATAATACAGCAGTCAATGCTGTAAAAATTTACTAAGTCTTTTTTGTGTGGTAACACAGATAGAACACAAAAACTAGAGTTTAAGATGTTAAAAGCATTTAAAAAAACAGCTACTCAAGTAAAGCAAGTACATTCATAGTATTCTACAATTTTTTAATGAAAAAGTCTAGCATTTTTCTGTATAAATATCAGCTCCATTGTGAGTTTTACCTTTTCAGAGATAGAACAATATGAGAACACACAATTTCCTCTTGTGGTCCTAGTTTTAGTGGCACCATGAAGACAGATGGAACCAAAACAGAAAGATTTTATAAAGGATATACTCAAAAACTGAAGATTTTTTCAGGTACCAAATTACATATTTTTTTCATATAATCCATCTATGGAACAATGTGACTCTATCTAAATATGTATAACTGGAGTACCAGAAGGAAAAGTAAGTGAAAGTTCAGGGAAGGTTGGAATTACAGGAGGAAAAACCAACAACTTCTTGTCACTTAAATTAAACATAAGCATTGTATACATTAGCACGATCAGAAAATAAATAAAATGAAGGACTATATATAATGGAATAAGTATATACAAGATAAAACAGAAAAAAGAGAAAAAGGAATACAGATAGGTAGGAAAATAGAACATAAATAGAATAGAGGAGCATTTAAAATTCTAATATAAATCAAACATCAAAATTTAAAAAGAAAACCTGTCAGTCTAGTTTAAGAAACAGAAAAGCAGCCAGCGCCGCGGCTCACTAGGCTAATCCTCCGCCGGCGGCGCCAGCACTCCAGGTTCTAGTCCCGGTCGGGGCGCCGGATTCTGTCCCGGTTGCCCCTGTTCCAGGCCAGCTCTCTGCTGTGGCCAGGGAGTGCAGTGGAGGATGGCCCAAGTGCTAGGGCCCTGCACCCGCATGGGAGACCAGGAGAAGCACCTGACTCCTGGCTTTGCATCAGCAGGTTGCGCCGGCCGCAGCACGCTGGCCACGGGGGCCATTGGAGGGTGAACCAACGGCAAAGGAAGACCTTTCTCTCTGTCTCTCTCTCTCTCTCACTGTCCACTCTGCCTGCCAAAAAATAAAAAAATAAAAAGAAACAGAAAAGCAATACTTAACTACATGCTACATGCCTGAAATTTGAAACAGCTCAAGTGTTCATCACAGTTGAATGCAGAAGTAAATTAGCTATTACCCCACAATGGAATGATACCCAGCAAGAAAAAACTGCTGATACAGTTAGAAACATGGGTACATTGCAAAACATCATGCTGAGCCAAGGCACACACACACAACAGCTTCTATGTGTAGATAACAGATGGTTCTATTTTCATGAAGTAGTAGAATAGTCATAACTACTACACAGTAAGAGAAATCAGATGCGTAGTCTCCAAGGTTGACTGAGGGGTGGGGCTTAATAAGGCAATCATGATGAAACTTTCTGGACTATAGGAATATTTTACTTATTGAATGGGTGGCAATATAAACCTTTAAGAAATATTTACATTTAAAGCCGGCGCCGTGGCTCACTAGGCTAATCCTCCACCTTGCGGCGCCGGCACACCGGGTTCTAGTCCCGGTTGGGGCGCCGGATTCTGTCCCGGTTGCCCCTCTTCCAGGCCAGCTCTCTGCTATGGCCAGGGAGTGCAGTGGAGGATGGCCCAGGTGCTTGGGCCCTGCACCCCATGGGAGACCAGGAAAAAGCACCTGGCTCCTGGCTCCTGCCAGGATCAGCGCGGTGCGCCGGCTGCAGCGGCGGCCATTGGAGGGTGAACCAACGGCAAAGGAAGACCTTTCTCTCTCTGTCTCTCTCTCACTGTCCACTCTGCCTGTCAAAAAAAAAATAAAAATAAAAAAAAAAAAGAAATATTTACATTTAAGCAAATATATACCTTTTTAAAGTATATATCATAGCAAATACAAACCTTTAGCTATATAAAGTGGGAGAATTTATTATATATTATGTAATTCATAATTTAATACAACTGAGAAAGAAATTCAAAATCAATAAAAATAATATTTTCAGAAATGCCCCTCAAATTTAGTAATTAAACAAAATACAGTAATGGTACTATTAAAACGTGATTGCTTGGATGTTTAAGGGCACATACACAGCCTAATTTGGAGATTTTAACAATCTGAAGACTAGTTAGTAATTTTATGTTCCACATAATGTTACACAAAGTTACTGATACACTTACAGGCATGCATACACACAACACAGATACATAAAATGAAATAGTTACCAATTGAAGCTGAGCGCATTTGTTTCATGTGAGTTTCTATGACAGAAGGATCCCGAGAGCTGTAACTTCCCAACTCAGGATAAAAGCTGGAGCCAATGTCATCTGGAGGGCTGTGTCTCCCTTGTGGATAATTCTTGGCTATTCTAGGGTCCCAGTGTTCCAAGACTGGATGGTTCCAATGTATATATTTACCATCAAACTGTGGATTTCCATACCAACTGTAATAAAATACATGTAAATAATAATTCAGAGGTGGCAGTTCTTCCAAGTTTAGTTCAGAGGCTTTAGAAGGTTTCACAGTGATTTCAACATTTTTATTCTTGGTATTTACTTCACTGTTGATTCTGTTACTCTTTTGGTAATCAGAATTTTTTCCCAAATGAATAGTTCGTTGATGAAGTTCTGGAAGAAGGTCCAGTCCAAAAGGAGCTCCAAAACCAGCTGTAGTTGGTCTCAGCATTTTTAAACCCATCATCAGAGAGAAAATAAATAGAATAAAAAGTGACAAAATGATGCAAGTCCTTCTCCGAAACTTTGCCATGATGACATACTTTAAACTCCAAAACAGTAAACGTTTTGCTGCAATTTATTGAAAAAAAAATACAATTAGTAGGTGTCATTAATAATGTTTTCCAATGCATTCAAAATGAAAAATAAAAACCATACTTTATTTCCTTAAAAAAGGAGTACAATCTGATATCAATTATACCATCAAATATCGAAATCTGTAAAAGAACCTATATACATCTGAACTAAATGGTAGCACTGATTTAGATATATAATTTCCATGCAAATTATATTTGGTCAGTAAGCCTTTTGGAAATTTTATTTAAGAAACAATATATTTTCAACATTTTAACAGATTTTGTACATAGTGAATCAATATACAAAGGGAATATTTTATGCATATAGACTAAAATTTTCTAAACTAAGTATAAAATTAAAAAATCATAGTTAATAACAGGAAATACTAGTGGCAGACATTGATTAAGTGATTAACCTACCTTTTAAGATGCTCACATCCTCATATCAGAGTCCCTAGGTTCAAGTCTTGGCTCTGCTTCTGATTCTAGCTTCTTGCTAATGCACACAATCACAGGCAGGAGGGGATGTCTTGAGTAGGTGAGGCCCTGCTTTCGAAACAAGAGACTTGATTAAGTTTCAGGCTCCAGGTATCAGCCTGGTCTAGATATGGTTGTTGCTAGCACTTAGTGAGTGAACCAACTGATGGAAGATCTTTGTCTGTCTGCTGGTCTTTCTGTCTTCTGAATAAAATAAAAATAATTGTTTTTTAATAAAAAATAAATACTTAGCAGTATATTAAAATCTAGTCATAATTTTCAAAAACTTTTAATTAAAATAACAATTTCACAAGAAATGAGTAATTTTAAATTGTTTTAAAATGGAATAGAATTAGAAAAATTTTAAAAAATAATAGAGAAAAAATATAATTACACTAGATATTCCTAATTTATTTATTTATTTTTGTTCATGATAGTCATTACTGGAGGTGTTTACAGAAAACCCTTTATTCCAATACGAATTTAGGCATAAGAAAGTTGTTTCTTGTGAACTCCTTGTAGAACTTTTGTTTTAAAAAAGTCATAAAACTGAGTCTGAGAAGGTATTAAAAATATAATTCTAACTTTGAAAATACTGAATGTTAAAAATTAACTTATAAGTTCTAAAATGATGTCATTGTATGTATTCTTAAGTTTGAATAAGTATTTTTGTACATACACATACTATTGGTGTTTACTCACATATCTATAAATATATACATTATATGAATAAAAATATTTAAGTCTCTTTAGGTAGAAATGTCTTATTAGGTAATTGCTGAAAAGTTGACATAAACTATTTTATAAAATATGACCTTTGTGATATACTATTATCTAAACTAACCCTGATAATAAGGTAAACATGTAAAATTCCCTACAAACTCCTGCTTCTCTTTATGTGAAAGTACTACTATTATCAACCATATTTATTTATTTTATTTATCTCAGAGACAGACACAAAGAAGAAAGACAAGAGCTGTCACCTGTGGTTCACTCTACAAATGCTCAAAACAGCCAGGGTTAGGTGGGGCTAAAGTTGGGAAATGAGAACTCAACCCAAGTCTTCTATAGGAGTACCAAGGGTCCAAGTACTTGATCATCAATGCTGCCTCCCAGCATCTTCATTAGCAGCAACAACAATCAGGATCTAGAGCTGGTATCAAACCCCAGTACTCAGATATGGGACGTGTGCCTTAACTGCCATCTAAACCGCCAATGACCACCCCAAGAATATTTCTTTTGAGCTAAAATCATAGAGCTTATTTTTAATACCCACCTTGTTTAATTATAAATACAACTACACCTAAAGAATAAATAATAATCAAAATGACACAGTTTTCTTACCACACAAGCACATCTAACAAATATTAATTTTACTTTGTCTGTTTCAAAATTTTATGTCAAAAGGTAAAAAGGAATTTCAAAAAGGTCATAGAAAACTGGAATTCAAGGGTAAATTTATCCTGAGGCAAGGATTTTTTGAAATGCACATACAGCTTTTTCTTTTTCTTTTTTTTTTTTTTTTTTTTTTTGACAGCCAGAGTTAGACAGTGAGAGAGAGACAAAGAGAAAAGTCTTTCTTTCGTTGGTTCACCCCCCAACTGACACCTATGGCCGGCACACTGTGCCGATCCGAAGCCAGGAACCAGGTGCTTCCTCCTGGTCTCCCATGTGGGTGCACGGCCCAAGGACCTGGGCCATCCTCCACTACCTTCCCGGGCCACAGCAGAGAGCTGGACTGGAAGAGGAGCAACTGGGACAGAACCGGCGCCCCAACCAGGACTAGAACCCGGAGTGCCAGAGACACAGGCGGAGGATTAGCCTAGTGAGCAGAGGCGCCGGCCAGCTTTTTCATAATATGTAATTTTCATGAACTCTTTGATGACTCCACATAGGCATGAATTTTGGTATTTTGCACCAAAAATAAACTTACCTCTTAATTCCATTTTCCACATTTAAGTACCTTTATACATATTTCAATGTGTTTACTACATTTATATAAATGTTTGCATATATGTGTGCACATACACTCCAATACACATATGTACATGCATATGCAAATATATACATACATTAATGTTAATATGCACTGTTGTATAGATACATGAATGCTATAAATATATTTATAAATATCTGTAAACATAATTAAATGTAGATAAAAATCCATAAAACTCTAGAGAAACTATATTGATTACAAAACTTTTCTGACCCTTTACCTGGTATCTTCCCTTTTACCTAAGGCTGTACTCGTATCACATCAGTTCCCTCTTTCTCTGACATAAAACTATAAAAATTGACTCTCAGCAAAGGAATAGGTAAACTGAGTTTTTCTTTTTTTAATAACTATGTTAGTTCACCAGTATAATAAAAAATCCTTTCATGTCAAATATTTTCCATCCTAAAATCTGAAAATAAAATTACCAAAGGAAAGATTTATGTTGTTTTTAAGACTCGAATTTAGGTAGGGATAACCTCCCATAAGATTGATATTTCAATAGAACAATTACATTTATACACTGTGACTACAAACGAAGGTGGGCTTGTTAATTAAGAAAATAAGATAGGGGGCCAGCTTTGTGGTGCAGAACGTTAGGCCATAGCCTATGACACTGGCATCCCATATGGGTGCCAGTTTGTGTCCCAGCTCCTTCATTTCCAATCCAGCTCCCTATTCTGCACCAGGGAAAGTAGCAGAGGATGACCCAAGTAATTGAGCCCCTGAACCCATGTGAGAGACCCAGATAAAGTTTCTGACTCCTAGTGTGGGGGCTTAGCCCAGCCCTGACTGCTGCAGCCATTTGGAGAGTGAACCAACTGATGGAAGATCTCTGTCTCTGTCTCTCTCTCTCTCTGTAACTCTATCTTTTAAATAAATAAATAAATCTTAAAAAAAAAAAAAAAAAAAAGACATAGTGGGGCCTGTGCCGTGGCACAGTGGGCAAAGCTGCCTCCTGCAGTGCTGGCATCCCATATGGGCACCAGTTCAAATCCCAGCTGCTCCACTTCTGATTCAGCTCTCTGCTGTGGCCTGGGAAAGCAGTAGAAGATGGCCCAAGTGCTTGGGCGCCCGCACCCACATGGGAGACCCAGAAGTTCCTGACTACTGGCTTCAGATCAGTGCAGCTCTGGTGGTTGCAGCCATCTGGGGAGTGAACCAGCAGATGGAGGACTTCTCTCTCTCTATCTCTCTCTGCCTCTACTTCTCTGTAAATCTGCCTTTCAAATATAAATCAATAAATCCTTTTTTTAAAAAAAGAGAGAGCTAAAATAAGCATTATGCTTGTAAAAATTAACATAGTTGACTTTAAGACAAAAGAATCTAAACTATTCCTCTCCAGAGGGAGGACAAAACCAAAAAATCTTTTTATTTTCTTGCAATATCCAAACAATCAAATACACAAAAAGTGAAATATGAAAAATTCAGTTCAATTGAACAACTACATTATGTTAAAAACAAAAAAGACCTTTATACTACGGCTAGCCTTGTGATATAGTGGGTAAAGCCACTACCTGAGAAGCTGGCATCCCATATGGGTACTGGTTCAAGTCTTGGCTGCTTTACTTTCCATCCAGTTCCCTGCTTTTGTGCCTGGGAAAGCAGCAGCAGAAGGACCAAGTGCTTGGGCCCTTAGACCCATAGCAAGACGTGGAATAAGTTCCAGGCTCCTGGCTTCGGTCTGGCCCAACACTGGCCATTGTGGACCCCTGGGTTGTGAACCAGCGGATGGAAGACATCTCTCTGTTTCTCCCAGTTTCTCTCTGTAACTTTGCCTTTCAAATAAATAAATACATCTTTTAAAAAAATTTTATGCTGGGTGTCACAAGACATAAACTGATTGGTAAAACTCAGTTCTTATTCTTTAGTTATTTAGAAGGGAAAGACAAAACTAAAAACTATAAAACCAAAAACAATTTAAAAACTGGCAGTAGTTCTTATCTGTCAATAATTACTAAAAAAATATATAGAATAAACTCCCTTATCAAAAGTTATAGAATTTCTGAGTGGATAAAAAAAGATTCAACTGCATGTCATAAACAAGAAAGTCACTTTAGACTTAAGAACATATGTAGACTCAAAGTGAAGTGATAAAACCAGATAGTCCACACAAATTGTAGTACAGAGAGAACAAGATGGATAAATTTATAACAGAAAAAAAAGATTTTAAGTCAAAAACTGTTCACAAGAGACAACTGCCATTATTTAATGAAAAAAAGATAAATTCAACAGAAAGATAAAACAATTTTAAATATATAAACACCCAATAGCAGAGTATCAAAATATATAAAGCAAAAATTGACAAGTCTGAATAGAGAAAGAACAATACAATACTAGGAAATGATTTCAAAAGCTCACTTTCTATAATGATACTTTTAAGGATGTTAAATAAATGGGATAAAGAATACTTTCTTCTGTTAGAACACCAACTAATATATTTATATGGTATAACAGAATCAGAATATTACTATTGTACAACTACCAAAATGCTATGGTCTGAATGAGTCCCCCAAAAGTTACATGTTGTAATGTAATTCTCAATTCAACAGTGGTGAAAAATGTGAACTAATGGGAGAAGTTTGGAGAGCACATGACTGGATTAATGCTGTTATATAAAAACTGTGGGGGGACTGGCATTGTGGCGTAACGGATAAAGCCACTTTACTCATTACACCACAGCACCAGCATCCTACATGTATGCCGGTTCGAGTCCTCCAGCTCTCTGCTATGGCCTGGGAAAGCAGCGAAAGATGGCCCAAGTCCTTGGGCCTCAGGACCCATGTGGGAGACCCGAAAGAAGCTCCTGGGTCCTGGCTTCAGATTGGCGAGGCTCCTGCTGTTGCAGCCAACTGAAGAGTGAATCAGCAGATGGAAGACTTTCTCTCTTTCTCTCTGCCTCGCCTTCTTTCTGTATAAGTCTGACTTTTAAATAAGGTCGGCACTGTGGCTCACTTGGTTAATCCTCTGCCTGCGGCACCGGTTTCTAGTCCCAGTTGCTCCTCTTCCAGTCCAGCTCTCTGCTGTGGCCCGGGAAGGCAGTGGAGGATGGCCCAAGTCTTTGGGCCCTGCACCCGCATGGGAGACCAGGAGGAAGCACCCAGCTCCTGGCTTCAGATCGGCTCAGCACGCTGGCCGTAGCGGCCATTTGGGGGGTGAACCAATGGAAGGAAGACCTTTCTCTCTAGTTTCTCTCTCTCACTGTCTAACGTTATCTGTCAAATAAAAATAAATAAATAAATCTTTTTAAAAAATGGAGTTTGGGAATAGGTTTGCAGTCTTCTGTTCATCTACCACATAAAGATACCACTCCTAATGATATGTATCAGGGCATCATCTTGGGAGTAGAGAGCAGCACCACCCAATAAATAGCACAAGCTGCAAGCTTCTTGATCTTGGACATCCCAAATTCCAGAACTGTGAGATAAATCTCTACTCCTTATAAATTATATAGTATCAGGTATTTTGTTATATCAGCAGAAAACCAAAGCAAAGAAGAATAACTGTTAGCGAAGAATCATTAATGAGGGAGAAAGTCTGATTAGAAACAGGATATCCACATATTGGCAAAATATTTCTCCTGAAAAATCTCATTACGGGGGAAATGTAGCAACTTAGTGGATGGAGAACCTACCAAACACCATCTTAAACAAGTGGTCAATACTAATTTCCTCAATTAGTTTTGGATAAACAGATATTATCATGACTCTACAGGATCCAACAAGAGGAAAGACTCACAGCTATATAATTCTTTGAAAAATCAATCCTATTTAATCATGAGGAAACATCAGACAGCCCATGAAACAAAAATACACAACCATACAAATACATGGTACACATACCATCTATGCATACATTCACAGGCACACACAAAAATGCAGAAACATTATAAATAATGTGTATGGTATTTGAGAATTTCACACTCATAAATTGAATAAATTAGAAAATATTAAAAAATATGTCTGTATTGAACATATACACACTTTTTTCTTGTCATTATTCCCTAAATATACTGTACAAAAACTATTTAAACAGCATTTACTTTGGAGTAGCTATTATAAGCAATCTGAAGATGACTAAAGGCATATAGGAGAATGTTCATGGATTATATGCAAATATTGTGCTTTTTTAAAATAAGGGATTTGAGTTTCCAAAGATTTCTGTATCTGAGTGAACAAATTCTTTATGCTTACTAAGGGATGACTACATTTACAGTGCAACATTTAAGTGTGTGTGAACACATGTATGATAAACAAGGAAGGTAAAGTACAGCTATTCGGTAAATCTGCAGAACAGGACAGGAATTGTTGAATTGTTTATACTGCTTTTACAACTTTTCTCTAAATCGAAAATTATTTGAAAAATCATAAAAAAGAATGCTGAGAACTAACTGGAAGACATGAGCTGTTAACTAACACGTTTAATTTTGGGAAGCAGCAACTCATTCAGTACAGTGAGCTCTGAACTGCAAAGCTCCAGTGAGTGGAATCTCTATGTGCGGAATGCGACAGCCCCAAAGCACTGAACAGGAATAATGAGGTGATATAACCATTTTGGCATGCTTCTATAATCCGATATTTTGACATTTCCATGTTTTTGAGATAAGAAATCCTTGCCTTCACTTAAAGTAAGAATTTTGACATGCAGCTGAAGAAAATTGTGGATGTGATACAATATTGAGACAGAAAAGGTTAACTGGGGAAGCCTAAAAAAAAAATCTTTTCTCAGTTTCTTTATGGCATATCCTCACTCCTGGAGCCAGAAAAAGGCTACTTAAAGTTGAGGAAAAAAATGCAAGCTTGAAAATCCTTCACTTAGAAGCTGCAGGTATAGAAATGATAATGGCTGGATGGCCTGTAGGTCAGACAGATCTCAGAAGCACAGAAAGGGCACCTCACCCAATACCTAACTGTGCCTATGAAATATGTAATGAGGGACCTCAGGTCTCTGATCTGCTGGCCAACCCCTGGACTCTTAAGGAGTGTATTTTATTTCCTGTAATAAATTTTCACTGTTACACTTTGAGCCTAGTCCAATCCCTTATAAGAGGTATAAAAGAACCCCAACAATATCAACTATGTTTAAGATATGCAGAAGAAGGAAATAAACATGCAAAATGTTATATCTAGATGAGAAGATAAAGTAACATTTTCTTACATTGTTTAAAAACAGAACAAAAATGATTCACAAAGAAGAAAAGCTGATTTAGAACGGTATTTTGTAAGGATATAATCAATGGTAATAAATGTTGAACAATCAACGGAGAATGGCAGCAATAACTACTGGACTTAGAAATTATTAAGACATTGACTTTTCAGATGTTGACTTCAACTGTGAATCAACTATATAATGAGTGGAAAACAGAGAATACATAATTGAAAGCATGTTGATCTTGAAATCTGAAAATATATGTTCAAATCTGCCACATGGATGCAGTTCAACGATCACTTAAGAGCATAATATCTGCTTTGTCTTCCGCCTGTTATCTGAATCGTGCAATAAAGTTTTTGTGAAAATAACTTGCAAGAATAATGTCTTAGGATTTAAGAATAAATGAGCCGGCGCCGCGGCTCACTAGGCTAATCCTCCACCTAGCGGCGCTGGCACACAGGGTTCTAGTCCCGGTCAGGGCACCAGATTGTGTCCGGGTTGCCCCTCTTCCAGGCCAGCTCTCTGCTGTGGCCAGGGAGTGCAGTGGAGGATGGCCCAAGTGCTTGGGCCCAGCACCCCATGGGAGACCAGGATAAGTACCTGGCTCCTGGCTTCGGATCAGCACGGTGCACTGGCCGTGGCGGCCACTGGAGGGTGAACCAACGGCAAAGGAAGACCTCTGTCTCTCTCTCTCACTGTCCACTCTGCCTGTCAAAAAAACAAAACAAAACAAAACAAAAAAAGAATAAATGAACAGTGAAGGAATACAGTACACAAGTAATTGAAACTTTTAGATTTGCCAGTTTCATTTTCAGGATGTACAAATGAGTAGAAAACAAAAGCTGTGAATTTACAAAAACTGCTTAATTTTTTTTTGTTGCTCTTTCCATGCCCCAAATGTAAATGCAATTTCTTAAGCCAGTCCCTTTCTCTCTTTTTACATCACTTAAAGGGCTTATTATATCATTAATATAGAGGATCCACTGGCTCTATTCCAACTTCTATGTATCAATTAATAATAAAGTCAACTTGATTTAAATAAAGGAAGATCATTCTGATAAAAAGTATGGGCTCTCTCTGCATTCGAATGCCTGAGCTCAAAATTCCAGCTTGGCCTTTTTTTTAGTTATTTGATCTATACAAGTAACCCAATCTTTCTTCACTTCTTTCCCCATCTGTAAAATGAATTGTTACCTCACTCATGGAATATTTTTTTTAGGATAAAATGAGTGGATATTGTAAAACCCTTACAATTATGTCTAGCTTAGCAATTATTTATTATGTTGATGATAATGATTAAAGATGGGTATCTGGCAAGCAATTCAAGCAACTAAAACCAACACAGGTTTTTCTCCAAATGTCTATCCCCTATATGGCTAACTTCTAAAATATCACTCATTGTCCAAGCCCAAACCAAAATGCTGCTTCCTCTTCCTGATAGTTCTAATGATTAGAGAAAGAAAAGTATTCTTTTCTTTCCCATATTCTATGGGGACAGCATTATCTTCTTTTAAATTGCCATGGATGTTCTATATTTCATCACGTGACATATTTACATGTTATAAAATGTCTTTATCTTGATACCCTATTATAACCCAACATATCTGGTATATAGTCACTAGTTTATACTTAGCAATCATTAATTGTTCAGTGTAAACCACTTAATCTCTGCCCCTTTTGCTTCTGACACTGGTACATATTTGGGTAGTGAGAATATAAACATTCTACTGACAAATACACTTGACATGCTTATAGTGTATATTGAGAATGTTACACAGGAAGAATCAAGATTTGATAATTTAAAAAATCCATTCTAGTAAGAATTATTATCTTCGCCATTTTAAAAATACAGCAATCCCTTAGATTCTTCAATGTCTAATGATTTTGCAATAAAGAGGCGGAGGAACTACTCATTTGGTTTCAACAAAAGGAATAAACCTCAGAAGTCACCCAAGAAAAATAAATTACTACAGGTATATGGATTCCCCTAACAGGAACCTACTAAGGTATCAGCTACTGAAAATCTGTTCTCTTTTA